GCCCGCTCCGGGTCACCACGCGCCGCAGACGGTGGGGGCGAGACTCTCCGTGGTGGATATCTGGACGGGCACCATAAGAGCCAGCGTGGGAGCAGGCGGGTTCGCGTTGGGTGTGTGGTAGGAGAGTGAGATTTCGAGCGCGTAGGTGCGCAGACGACAGACAAAGGAAGCTACGTAGCTCGATAGCTATTCGCCCCGTTGCTGAGACCGTTATTACTTGTTGTTCCCCTCTTGTCTCTGATCAGATCGAACTCCCTCCAAAACCCCACCCCCCGCCACCACCACCAACTCGAGGACTGAAGACAGGGTTACCTCCAGACCATGCCACCGCGAGCTTCCCTGACCAGTTCCTTTTCCGTCTCGGATACCAACAATGAAGTGATTTGCCCTCTAACCAACAATGACGGCTCCAATTGTCGCAAACGATGTCTGGGCGTAAGTACACCCCCCGTGACTACTGCTCTTCCCTCAGAAACTGGCCAGCAAGCTTCCTCTGCCCAGGCCTCCCACCTCACCGCTCCTATATAATACAACATTCAGCTCTTCTATCTTCGATTCCCCTTCCTCCCCTCCCCAATAAAAAGAAATGAAATGAAACAGAAAAAGCAAAGGGAAATGAAGGAACACGTCACAAAAGCCTATCTATTCCCGGTCACAAGCTCCAGATGAGAACTATCCTTTAATTAACTTCTATTTGACCGGCGCTAATACGATCCTCGCTTTCGTTTTTGTTCCATTTGGCTGTTTTAGGAGAAGCGATACCGTTCCATGCAGGAGCACATTCGCCGTGCCCATCCCAGCCACTACATCCCCAAGCTTCCGGCGACCGAAGAGAGCTTCCGGTTGATGATTTTTACCCCTCCAGAGTCGAGGCCTCCTCCTAACACCTCACATCCCCGGCGGGGTCCTGGTTCGTATTTAATCCCCCATTCCCCACTTTTTGTTTTGCATTGAAACTGCTGTTATAGCCTTTTTTTTTTTTTTTTTTTTTTTATTTGCTGATAGTTTTTTCCTGTCTCTTTGTGGTTGCCACTTTTACTAGGCGATCCCGGCGATAGAGATATTTTCGGTGGGCCCGATCGAAGCTCCCCCATGACCCCTCGCACCCTTGACGAAGCTCACCCTGCAGCTGCCACGGCAGCTGTCGCATTGGCACAACTCCACCACCATCGATTGACCTCCGATTGGGATTCTGAGCCGGTTCGTAATTTTCTTTTTCTTTGCATCTGGACTAATTCCATCATATGCGCCCCTACGTAAATATTTTGCTTGGAACATATATAGAGAAAGCACATATACAATAGCCAGTCCCAACCATTAACCAATAACACACTAGGATATGCATTCTGACGTCGACTTGAAACGAGAACGAATGCGCTCCTCAATCGAGCTTTCCCCACTCCGGCGACCACTTTCAAACCGGACTCCATACCATCATTCCAGTCCTTCCGGGCCTAGAGAACTGCTACCATCCATCCCTTTCACACTTCTCCACCTGGGGCGATCATCAACGCCTTCCATCCAATTCAGTCGGTCGGGAAG